ATAATATCTGTACCTTGGTCTCTATCTATATCTCATATATATATATATATATATATACATTGATCTATATGTCATATATTAGATTCACATTGGCCTGGGTACTATCCCTATACAGGGGCACACTCTTTTCTTCCTGATACGGAGAATGGTGTGTGATGGAGGTAGAAAGTATCTAGTGGTTGTGCAATCACAGGGGATGTGTTCAGAATACAAGCTGTGAATTGTATTATTGCTCCGGGGATACGATCTGTTCCAGGGGGTGCGATGTGTCAGCGATCGGGTTGTGGAGTGCTATTGGCACAGATCACATCGGGGGGCTGGGAGAGGCACACATCTAAAAGAGGAACTATCGGGGGTCGGGGTGTGAAGTGTCATTGGCACACAGGGACCAAATTAAATACGGGGGTTAGACCCGGGCAATAGGAGGCACAGCATTATTGGGGAGAAGGAAGATACATGGAGGGGTCGGGGTAACATTGGCACAGAGTAATACTCAATCAGATTAAAGACTGGGGTTAGAGCCGGGCAATAGGAGGCACACTAGCGATTAGGGATAGAAAGATCCTTTGGGGGATAGGGGCGCTATGGGTTTCAGATTAAAGACTGGGGTTAGAGCCGGGCAATAGGAGGCACACTAGCGATAGGGGATAGAAAGATCCTTTAGTGGATCGGGGTGCTATGGGGATCAGATTAAATGGGGATAGTCCTGGGCAATATGAGGCACACTAGCGATAAAGGGTAGAAGGATCCTTTGGGGGATCGGGGTGCTATGGGGATCAGATGGAATTCTGGGGGTTCGGGACTAAGGCTGGGCAGGAATTAGTCTAGGCACACAATATCTGGGGTCCCCCCTCCCATGAGCAGTGTCAGTATGCAGTTACCTCTATGGGGCTGATCGGGGTGGAGGGCAGGGGCTGCAGGTACTCGGGGTGCAGGATGTGTCCGCTCCGAGCCGTCAGCATCTTCAGCACTTTGATGGGCAGTCTGCCGGCCTGGCGTAGCGGGTCGCTGGGAGGCACGGGGTGGACGAAGGCTCTATTACCCAGCCGGGGGGCTCCTCTGCTTCGTGTCCCCGACCTGTCACTGCTCTCACGGGCTGAAGGACTCTCACGACTTCCAGAAGCCACTGGCGAGCTGATCATGTCCCCTGGACAGGCATTGGTGGGGTGCAGGGGTCTGAAGACCGACCCCAGGTGGATGAGAACTGTACGTATGTGTCCTATAAGGAACGATAGAATAACGATCCTTCAGCAGCGGCGTATTAATCCGATGGAGGAGTGTGTATCCAGCAGACGGAGGATTAGATCCGATCACACGGTCCGGTGCTGTGTGTGTGTACGGCGGAGGCTCAGTGTCCTAATGTGAAATCCAGTTTTGTCTGATGATGATGATGATGGTGATGATGTTGGTGGTGGGGAGTCCTCAGCACAGCCAGATCCTTCCCATACAGCACGCTCCCAGCGCCCACTCCTGGTCTAGTGTGAGCAGCAGCGCAGCCAGCCGGAGTTCTGCCAGAGAAAGTCACTTCAAAAGGCTCTGAATTAGAGCGGAGATTAAAGCCTTTGCCGCCTTCCAATCAAATGGGACCCCGAGGTGATTGGAGGGTCAAGGGGATGTGACGTCCCCCTTCTCTCCGCTTCAAATGCTCTTCTCTTTTCTTTCTTCTCCCCCCTCCTCCTCCTCCCGGTGGTTTCGCCTCTATGCTCAAAGCTCAGGGCTTAGCTTACATTTTATGGTTCATGTCCCCAGCTGCTCACGATTTTTGGGATGGTTTTCCAGGCTCATGCAAACCTTTCCTGGAAGAGATTTCTGTAACAGAGCGTACAGGGGTCAAGTAGATCTAAAAGAAATGAAACATAGCAATGGTATATGATAGGCAGCTCTGGGATCAGCAGATATGATCGAAATACAAGAGGGGTGTGTTCTTCCTTGATTCTTCATGAGCTGTGTAGTAATCCAATATGAAGCTCTGTGCTGGAGCTTTCTGTAATAAAGACCGGTCACTGAACAGTCCTGTCCCTGTGCAGGGTGACTGGTCTTGTCTTCACCCACTTTTATAGTTTATTTGCCCACAGCCTCTAGAACGTGGGGCCACTGGGACTCTCCCACAGCTCTACTCTCTGCACACACTATGTGCAGCACGGTGATGATGTCTCTGCTGCTTTTACAAGGTGATATCTGGGTTTGCAAAGGTATCTGGAGCACACAAAGATGATTTATTTCCTTTGTGACGGTCAAGGAATATGTTTGGATAAAAAATTTTGTGTTTGGAGTTCAGCATTAAGCAAACGATCACCCGGCAAGGGTGTGGATGTGCTTTATGCCTCATTGATACTGACATTGACCTGAGATTATATGCATTGAAAGGATGTTTGTAGACACATATATTCATTGTTAGGGTTGATGCACACAGGCAGCTGTACCCACCCGTGCAGTGTAAATTCCAGCATATGTTCCCCACCAGGGAGCCACAGGTGCTGCTTATAGCCTCTCATAAAAGTCTGTATGCGGGTATACAAAGGTACTTGTGTACACACGCACATCCCCGAGTGCTGGTTGTCCAGGTATCCCTACGCATACACGGCTCTACACAAATACTGGCATATACCCGAGACAAACATATTAACATATGGAAACATATTAACTCCAATGCCCACACGTGTATTACCCACACTTTGAAGAAAGAGATGTAAGAGCATATACATTATTTGCCATGTAAACTATCAAACTCACAATTAAATCTCATCTTCAGGCAAACCAATAAAGTAATTTTGTAGTGAGGCTACCCAGCTCTGCAAGGGGGAAGTGCTCAATTCTTGTCTAGAGCAGTGGTTCTCAACCTGTGTAACCTCAGGACCCACATTTGTCTTTGGTCATTAAGTTACATAGTTACACAGTTACATAGTTACATAGTATTTGAGGTTGAATAAAGACATTAGTCCATCAAGTCCAACCTATTAGGATCTCATTCTAGGAGTACCTGTACCCCTGTATATTACGGTCCCTTAAGAAATCGTCCAAAATTTTCTTGAACAATTCCACATTATT